ACAACCCAACACTGCCACAACCCAACACTGAGAAACACACATACACTCTTGCATTCACACACATACACCACGGCCAATTTAGCTTAATCAATTCATCTACAGTATACCACATGTCTTCAGACTGTGGCTGTTTTAATATAAAGTGGGTCCACATATTTATGTGCATGAAGAATATAAAAAATGTAATGCACATTTATAATACTTTATGTATTATTACAGTGGCATTAAAGACTTAGTTTCACCCAAAAATGAAAATTCTGTCATCCTTTACTCACCCTTTATTTACCCAGGAAATTCAAATTGAATCATTTATTCAATTAGAGTTTTTCTTTTTTTTTTTTTGAAAAATGTCATTTTTTTTTCAGAAAAATTTGTAACCATTTACTTCAAAAGAAGAATAAACAAATACTATGGAAGTCAATAGTTACAGGTTTCCACCAATCTTTCCAAAAAATATATATATTTTTTTTGTGGTCAACAAAAGAAAAAAAAAATTAAACTGGTTTAGAGAAAATCAAGGGTGAGTAAATGTTGACAGAATTAATTTTGGGGCGAACTATTCCCTCACGCAAATGATTATTATTATTATTATTATTATTATTATTATTATTATTATTATTATTTGCTTGTTATTTAAAATAAGCTGAAACAACACAATTCTTGAAATTTCATTGGGAAACTTATTTTTTATGTTCAATCCACATAAATTTGTTAAAAGTAATCAATTTGTGTTGAGATAACATGAATGAACTGTTTGGAACACTGCATTTTTTACAGTGCTGTAAATCAAATAAAATATGTTTAAAAAGGTAAGTAAATGAATGAATGAAAGTAAGAAAGCAAAAAAACAAAAAAATGGATTGATTTTTATTTATTTATTTGTTTCTTTCTGTGAGAAAGTGTTAAAATAATACAGTTTTGCACTTTAGGTTTAGTGAAAATCACTGAATATTCCTTATTTATAATAATAGACTGGTAATTCAAATTATTATAATTTTTTTTTGTTCAATTTAGTTTCAGGCATTGCATAACACAAACCAATCAGGGGTGTGTTTTCCGAAAAATTACTTTTGCTTTTAAAAATAATTAGTTTTCTTTTTTTTTTACTTTTAAATTGAAACAACATAAATCTCAAGGTTTTGTTGGGGGAAACTTAATTGTTTAATGTTTAATCTCTAATTAAGTTAACTTACATCAAAAAAATAAATGCAATGTACTTACTTTGTTTATAATGTATTTGAGAACACTTGTGGTGCTTTTGAGTTGGAATAGAGGTTGGGTTATGGACAGGTTTGGTGGCCTGGGTAAGTTTAAGGGTAGGTTAAGGTGTAAGGGATGGTCAACAGTGTATTTACAAATGTAATTACAAAAGTTAGTTACAGATGTAATTACATACATGTATTTAATCAAGCATACGTACACAGTAAAAACATGTATTTACACAATAAGTACATTGTAACAAACTCCTATGTAAGTACATATTAGTTAAGGCCTCTTAATACAAAGTGGGACCAAATATTTCAATAATTGAATCTGTTTAATAAATCTGTTTTGTTTAAATCCACCAAAATCCATTGCCCATATTCACTGAGAAATAGATACAAATATTTATTTAAAAAATTAAGTGTACTCAATTACACTGAGTAGGCTTAAAATGAAAGATTACACTGTAGACGTTGAAATAATTAAAAGAAAAAAGAAAAACGAAGATAGTCTATGTGCCATTTAATCATTCTTCAAACTGTTGAAGCTGCAGTTGTAATTACACAAGTTTGTGAAATTATTAAACTGTATTTGCCACCATAGTTTAGTTAACAATGCCTTACAGAAATGCATCTGAGATCAGGAATAGTGATTTCAAAACTAGCTTTTGCTTTTATTCTGAGTGCTAACTGCATCAGTGAACAGACTGTGGGCAGTCTGCTGGCATGCCATCAGAGGATCGCCTGACTGTAATGAAGAAGAAACCGTTCTGATAATAGATCTATGAAATCCCTCACAGAGTAAGGTGCAAATCAGTATACCGATCTTCACACATTCATTTAAAACAACCTTTCATGCCAATTTGCAGGGAAATCCTAAAGCGGCAGCCATTTGTGCGAGTGCTTTTAGATGAATTTCATACGGCAGGGATGTTTCTGTAGCGTGCGCTTCGGCTGATGCGTCCATCTCCTGGTGTGAAGGGAGCAATCACTGGGTGACCCTGATAGTGATCTATGCATACTCTACGGCGTTATAGAGATGTAGGTGAGCCAGCGTCTCCCTCTGACTAAGCTGTAGAAGAAAATACGCAGAGCGGCGTTTGTGTGTGAAAAAAGCAAAGCACACCAAACCTTAACAGAAAATCAACATCTAGGTAATACCACAATTATAGCATCAGATATTGCTCTGTTTATTCAATTTTATCCAGTATAAAACCCTCTTGAGCTTAGAAGAGAGATTGAGAGAGGTGGACGTCAGGATCCAGTGACCGCAGTACTAACGTGCTTCAACATGACAGCCGTCTTTAATCACGCGCCACCAGGGGAACGCGCAGCTTAAATGTGTTTGCATGGACACTATTGTCCTGTACACCAAGGGAATACAGATTTTCCTTTCCTTCATATCTCGGCTGCTCTGGTTTTGTGAGAGCTCTGCTGGGGGATTCCTGCTAATTGCTTGCACATTCCCTTCTTCCTCTATTAAAGCCAGGCCACTATTCCCCCCTTTACAATCTACAGTACCGCTCCTGCAAAAAAAGAGAAGACCAAACCGGAGACAAAGCACAAGTGAGGGAGAACAGAAAAAGGATACAGCTATATCACAAGCGTCCTTGCGTGGATTGCAAATTGGGAGAGAAAAAGGATAACTGTTTGACATTTAAAGGCAGTGATGGCATCTATTTGGTTATACAGCAGTCTGAGCGTGTGTGTTCTAGTGTATCAGAAAGGTGACATGCGCATCTGTCTATGTATGCATGTCAGAAAAGTGGCATGTGTGAGGTTTCTCCCCTGGCGCACGGGCAGCTTCGCAATCAAAGGTCGGAATTCATCAACACTGGCATCCTCTGACATCTTGAAGCAATCTAACGTTTACTCCAGGGGTGGGCAGGGGGGCGCGTCTGTTTGCCTGAGTGTGGGTGTTTGTGTGTGGATGCGAGAGGGGGTTCCTGACATTCGTGAACACAAAGTAGAGGACGGAGCTTTTGTAACTTTTTTCCCGTGAGCTATATTTAATCCATTACGGAAGAGCAGAGGCATGCCTATCTGCGATCAGACTTTGAGTTGAAGAGATGCCCAATTAATTAGTCTCGCGCACAACAACACACAGCACTCGGCCAAGTCTGACATTGTGTGCATTTTTAGGGCCTCTAAAAATATCCATGTTTTGACCACGTCTGAGGGTCAGGCAGATCAACCTCTCCATCATGTGAATGTCTGCGACGGCTTCGCACTCACAGACGCCACTCTTTGTATGGGAGAAGATGCCCATATGGCTGTTTTACAGCGCACCGTAAACAGAGAAGATAAACAGAGGAATGTGTGATTCTAATTTCCTCCTTGCAGACTGTAATGTACAGTGGGTGGAAGACAAATGGAGAATAGAAAAAGTCATTGCATTGCCAACCTCTCTGGGATTTGGCTGATGACTGTACACACACACAAATAATTGCCACACAAAGTCAATCGGCCCTCCAGAAAATAACATCTATTCATATCCCACCATCTGCAAGTGCAAATGGGTTATTTCACACGCAAACACAATGGGAAATCATAAATAAAGAAATTTGGGGACAAAATGTCCACCTTTCGTGTGTGTGTGTGTGTGTGTGTGTGTGTGTGTGTGTGTGTGTGTGTGTGTAATGAGAGGCTAGTGAACAATCCTGAGGCTTGTTACAGTCATAAAAAAGACAGAGGACATCGCTTATTATATTAGCTTGTCGTTAATTTAATTCGATCCATCCGTTCATCCATTGGAGCAACTTGTAGCGATTGCTCGCTTATATGAAATTGCATATGAGAAAGTTCTCAAGCGGGTACAGTGACCTGCTCCAATGACATTGAGATTCTCTGGAAATGATGGTATTGACAGAGTGCCACCGCGATTATCCACAAGCCGAGATGGCCACAAAGTAAGTGTCAATTACAACAGGCTGATCAAATGCGCACTTGATGCTGTGTGTCACACACGCACACGAAGAAACACACATAATCATGCGAGGAGAGAAAATTGAGACATCAACTGATTTTGAAGTTCAATCCCTTAGGCGGAGGATGCAAATCACAGTCTCATTATGGACGTTTGTGTATGTGTGTGTGTGTGTATTGGGGGGAAGACGAGCACAAGATTTAGTGTCTTCCCACATCTATTACCTACTGTGTTTACACTGAGTGAAGGGAAAGGACAGCGATGTAGGTGCACTTGACAGAGCGTGTGTTGCATGCGATATTAGACCGACTTCTCACAATGAGACAAACTGAACAGCAACATCGCGTACAAATAAGACCTGCTCTCCCAGAGGACTACCAGCTACACATACCCGCTCATTCTCACGCGCACGCACACTCCAACAACGCCTGATCAAGGTTTTGTTCCTAGCGCTGCCTTACAGGTACTTGATTTTGATCTGTGTTTAGCATCAGTCTCTTTTCCCACATCTCCCTCTCCCTCATTCGTGTTTCAGCACGTGTGTGTGCAGGTATCTGAAAGTGTGTGATGTCGTTTTTCCTATTTTCTCGACTGATTAACAGCATGAAAGCGTTTAACGACAAAAAAGCAGCATTCCAGCATAACGCACCCCCCCAAAAAAACAGCAGCAGGCATGTGAGAAAAACAATCCACAGACCTGCAGGATTCAACAGAGGGAAAACTTACGACAACACACAGATACACATGCATCCTCTGCGCTGCACATGTTTAGCACACACTCTCAAATTTCAGGAAACCCTCAGATGCTCAGTCGTGACAGCGCAGAAGCATGTCCATATGTGTGTGTGAGTGAGAGTGCATGTGGTTCTTACCGGATGGCACAAAATGAAGAACTTTGTTTGCTTCCATCATTCCCTTGTCAACCCATAATCATCCTGTAGTCCTGACACTAATGAGGGCAAGATCACCTCTGCTCCGGTCTCCTGTCTCTCTGCTCCTCTCTTCACTTCTACCTCTCCCTCTCTTTCTCTCTCTCTCTCTCTATCTATCTTTCTTTCTCTCTCTCTCATTCCTCAGACATATTTAGTGAGTCAGCCTTGCCCTGCCTCCGCTGAGCTGTGACTCTGGGTCCTAAAGCCTATGTTTCCTGCATTTCTCCTTTCACTTTGTGTACCTGATGTTTACGATCATAAATCGTCACGACAAAATCTGCCTGACATTTATTTTACTTTAAGGTTAGAGATGTGCATTTATGTCCAATAGTAGTCAATAAATGGTGCTTTCTGCAAAATGTTAAGCAATGTGCGACATGTGGTGTCTGTAAGTTTACATACTGATGTCACTGTAATGATTTTTGTTTATTCCACAATATGGGACATCATGTCTTTCTAGCATCTACCCAAATTAATACATAGAAATGAAGACCTGGTGCATGTTTTGATGCTGTCATTTTTGTTGTGGTGCTTCTGGATTATTTGATGAGGTCATTTTTTTGAGGAAGACATGCTGAAAGAATGTTTCAAAGAGATGTACTGCCATCATGGCTCCTGAAACGTGATAGATTAGATGGCACATATATTGTAAGCAGATTGTCTTCAGTTTGTTGTGTAGGGAGCTGTACTGTTTCCAGGTAAAGTCTGATGTATGATTAAATAGACGCGAGCGTGAAAAGACCAATTAAAAAAGAGAAAGCAATTCAGCACGACAATAGCACAACGACTGCTGCGTTTGATTAAAAATTGAATGCCAAACATTCTGTCTATTTAAGTCAACTGATAACTTTTTTAATGAAAACGTTAATTTTGTTTAAGATACAACATATTTTTGCACTCTTAGTTCTCCCAACAATGTATATTCTGAAATTTGCTTTTTATAGCCATAAAATAGAAGTCAATGGTAACCAAAGCCGCATGATTACCAACATTCTTCAATAGATCTGATTTTGTCTCCACAGACAAAACAAAGTCATACATTTTTGATTGGAATGAGGGTGAGTAAATGATCACAGCATTTCTATTTTTGTAAAGATGATCCTTTACAGGCTCAAATTACAAACAAACTGTCCACAAGTTTGAACAGGGATTGAACAATTAGAATTAAGGTGTAGAGGATGATGATGAAAAAAGTTGTGATTCATTATAACAATAGAAAATAAATAAATATAATAATCAAGAAGATTTATTTATTCAATTTCCTTTGACTTATTCTCTATTTCAGAGGTGAACGAACTATTTATTCCAGCATACGTTTAACACAGCTGATGCCCTTCCAGCCACAGCCCAGTACTGGTAAACACTCATCCACACACATCCACTCATAGACTGGCCAATATAGTTTATTCATTCATTCATATATTCAATGTCCTTCGGATTAGTCTCTTTATTAATCAGGCGAAATTAACCGCCAACTTATCCAGCACATGTTTTTTGCAGCTGATGCCCTTCCAGCCGCAACCCAATACTGGAAAATACCGATACATACCAGCATATACACACTTATTATTTAGCTTATTCAATTCACCTATTTGGATTGTGGAGGAAACCAGAGCACCCGGTGAAAACCCACTGGAACACGTAGAGAACATGCAAACTCCACACAGAAATGCCAACTGGCCCAGCTGGGACTCAAACCAGTGACCTTCTTGCTGTGAGGCGACTGTGCTAACCACAGAGCAACTGTGCCACTACTGAACAAGAAGATAATAAAAAAAATTAACTAAATACAAACCACCTGGTGCTAGGACTTCAAAAATGACTGTTTGCTTCAATTTCAATGAAATAAATGTTTTATCTAGATAAGCATTCCATAAATTTTGTACGTTAAAGGGTTTTGTGGTACTAACATATATGTATAATGTAATAATCCTTTTATTACTTTCTAGCAACATTTAGAGCATCGAAATATATACACTGTAAAACCCAACAGTCAACTTTATCAAATGAAATGAATGTAGTTAACTCAAAATTTACTGTAAGTTACTCATTTAAAAAGAGTTTTGAACTTATTGTTTAGGGTAATGAGTGAATTCAATACCTCATTAAATAGAGTAAGTTCACAGTTCTCGTATAGATTCGTTTTTTTTACTCAAATAGTTTGTTACAATCGGTTTCCTCAAATGGTTTGAGTTGCCTTAATTTATCAATTTAAGTTATTTTTATTTAATGGGTTTTACTGTGCTCAAATTGCTTCATTTAATCAAATGGATTAAGTTCACAGTACTCATTAGGAATTATTTTGGAACTAAAATGGTTTGTGGCAGTCGGTTTCCTCAAATGGTTACCTTAACTTACCTTAACTTTTTGGGTTTTACAGTGTATATAAATAAAGTATTTTTCCAACTCAAACTCTTAAATGTCTCAAATGTCTCTGAAACTCTCAAACATCATATATCTTGAATGCTTAATTGGAAATAGAAAGGTAATTAAAATGTTCACTGCTATTAAAAAATACTATTTTCCAAATTTGATATAAAATACATATTTTGCTTAATATATCCGCTCTAAAACTGAAAAACGAAAGGAAAGTAAGCCAAATATACATACATTTTAAAAAGTTGTTTCAAATTTGAAGTTGATATCTCAAAACAAGCTTTCAGTAAGACTGCGAACTGAGTGTGAGTGTTTTCCCAAGACTTTTTGAATCATGCATATTTATTTAATTGTATTTTTATATTGTGTATTCACATAGCAATAAAATAAAAAGTCCAAACAAAAAATAAAAATTGTTCAAGGCCGAACACCAAAAGGTTAACAAGCCAAAGAACTAGTCGAAAAATAGGACCCTGAAGTAGAAAATGAAAGCAGTAACTGAAAATGATGACAAGACATAAGAAGAAGATGAAATAGATGACATCGGAAAACAAGTCGAAAACAATGAAGAAGACCAAGACGAATAGAATGTTCGAGGAATTTCTAACAGGCACTGTAATGACTCATCATTCCAAGGCTGTTTGTTTTATTTCTCTTGTCGAGTGGGGTGGAGAGTATGGGGAGGATCTGTTTTTTATTTCAGCCCTCACAGTAAGTCTTATAAAAAGTGTAGAACCCCTCTTTCCTCCCTCCATTTTGTTGCCATCAAAGGCTTTTTCCAAAAAATAAAAAAACACACCTGTTGGCAGCATGTAAAAGAGTTTGTAGAGGCTTGTGTGTGTAAGTGTGTGTATGTGTATGTTTGGCTGGAATGTTCACACAGCTCTTGTGCTCCAGACTGTATTGTGATGCGCTGCTCTTTAAACTGTTCTGTAATGGCCAGACCGAGTACCTCCCACAGCATGACATGCAAAAAAAAAAAAAAAAACATTTGATTCGACCACCTACGAGTACAAGCATTCAAGACAACAACACTCCTGAAGCACCACACCTCACTGTCCATGCATACACAAACTGTCTGACTGATTCATAAGATAGAGCAGGGTGGAAAGGGTTAAATTCTGATGTGGGCACAGGATGCAGTGGGTACACAGACTGAGGTCAATCACTGACCTTGCTATTGTCCTTGAGTTCAGCAGAGTTGTCCGGAGGTGCCAGACAAACACACATACTGCACACAGCGAAATATTTGGGCTAGATTAGAGACGCAATGTGCATTGGCCAACACAAAACGATTCCTACAGCAAAGTGAAGAGGCTTCTGGGTGATGTACTGCCACCTAGTGCCCTGTGTTGCTGTCAGAAATCCAAACATCTACATTACAAAAAAAAAAAAATGAGTCTTTGGATGCATCTCAAGCAAACACACAGTTAATGAATACTATGTGCTGTCATTTGTGTGCCCTAGACCTCACTTCCTATCTGTGTTTGACTCTGATAGTCAGATCATAAGCTTCACAGGAAATGTTTTGTTGTCTTTCTGGACAAACAATGGGTATTGGAGATTTATGGCTAGTGACTGCTGACTGTTACAGTTTAAGGTATGAGCTACAACATAAAAATGTCACTTTCTTTTTTGCTTAAGCCCTAAACTATCTACTAATACACAAGCAATTGTCTTCAAAACAGGCAGAGCTGATCATTTTCTCCTAAAATATAGCATATTAAGACTGTATATTTAGAATGCAGTCAAATGCATTTTAATTTTGCAGGGATAATTCTCACAAAAAAAAATTATTTACTTACTATTTACTCACCTTCAAGTGGTTCCAAACCTTTATGTGTTTCTTTATACTGTTGAACACAAAAAATATTTTGAAAAATCTGTAACAACTGACATTCCTTGTTGGAACAAAACACTAGTATGAAAGCCAGTGGTTGCAGGTTTCCAACTTCTCAAAATAAAATGGAGGGTGAGTAAATTCAGAAGAACTTAAATTTTTTGGGTGAACTATACCTTTATATTTACTTCTGAAAACGAGGGGTATTTTTTCAAAGCTGAGGCGTTAAGAACTTGACAATAGTCAGTTTAACAGTTGACACAATTGTACATTTTTAAGCCTTATACAAACTTACGTTCGGGTTTCTGTATCGTTGGTCACAACTTATGTTGGTTTGTTAACTAAATGCAATTCTTTTCATCAACTGGTCTTACAGAAGAACTGAAGATCTTTAGGTGAACTTACACAACTGCCTAGACATAATACATTGTATTAACTACAGTATAAATGGCATCCTTTTCTAGAAAAAGTTGTATTGTAACTGTATTTTCCAGTTTTTAGCAAATGTTAATTTTATAAAGAAAAAACAAATTGTGAGGAAAGACAATGAAGACCGAATTTACACTGATGAGCCAAAAGAAAACGAGTCAGAAGTGAAGCGAATTTCATTGATCATCTCCTAACAAGTATTAAAGTCTGAGTAGATCTGATGCTGAGCTAACAATAATCAGTGTCAGATTGTTTTAAAAAGCCAAATGGATCAAAATATCTCTAAAATGGCAAAGCATGTGCATTACTAACAGTATTGAAGTATGGACAAGTGAAAGGGTGTTGGGTACAAGGGTAATGAAGGTTGATTTACCATGCCAACATAACGGCCCAATCCCAATTCTATTTTTGTACCCCTACCCTTTCCCCTTCCCTATGGCCCTTACAACCGAAGGGGAA